TGATATGACATGTATACAGTAATGTATATCCCAGCTCCCCTGTACTCCATTATAGTGATATGACATGTATACAGTAATGTATATCCCAGCTCCCCTGTACTCCATTATAGTGATATGACTGTATACAGTAATGTATATCCCAGCTCCCCTGTACTCCATTATAGTGATATGACATGTATACAGTAATGTATATCCCAGCTCCCCTGTACTCCATTATAGTGATATGACATGTATACAGTAATGTATATCCCAGCTCCCCTGTACTCCATTATAGTGATATGACATGTATACAGTAATGTATATCCCAGCTCCCTGTACCCCATTATAGTGATATGACATGTATACAGTAATGTATATCCCAGCTCCCCTGTACTCCATTATAGTGATATGACATGTATACAGTAATGTATATCCCAGCTCCCCTGTACTCCATTATAGTGATATGACATGTATACAGTAATGTATATCCCAGCTCCCCTGTACTCCATTATAGTGATAGGACAGGTTGTATACAGTACTTACTTTCCCCCGTGGCAGCGGAGAGGGTGTCTCCTGTCAGCGGAGGAGAGTGGACCTCTTCTGCACTTGTCCCCTCGGCGGTACCGCAGAAGCCCGAAACCGGAAATCGGCTTCACAATGAGGCTTGGAGTGCAGGTGCAGTCGCTCTCCATGCTTCATCTATGCTCGCTGCTCGCCACAGAGGAATTTTTCATCGCATTTGGCGAGCGGCTTTTTCAAGCCCTGTAATAGATTGTAATAAATTGGATCTTGCTCTGTTGGGGTTTTTTTTTTTGCCTTGCTCTGGAAAACTGTGGGTGTAGGATTATAACTTTTTTTTAATGGTTGAACTGGGTGGACTTTTGTCTTTGAGCACCGATTGGCTTCTTGTCACAAAAGGGAAGTGTCAGGTCTTATGCTTTATCCCTTTCGCTGCCAGAGCTATTTTTGCATTTTTTGCACACGTTTAAATAATCATTTTAGGCCTGATGATTACATAAACCCTCCAAACATTATATATTTTCTGAAAACAGAGACCCTAGAGAATAAAATAGTGGTAGTTCCAATTTTTTATGTCGCGTGATATTACCGCAAAATTTCAGTAAAAAATAAGTTAATTTTAGGGCACAAAAAAATTGCCTTATATTTTTTGTAAAATATAAAAGATGAGGTTGCAGCGAGTAAATATCCAACTTGTCAAACCTTAAATTTGTGCGCACTCGTGAAATTGCGACCCTATATTTTCTATAGGTCAACAATTTTAAAGCTCCTTATAGGTCACCAGTTTAGTGTTACGGAGGAGGTCTGGTGCTAGAATTATTGCTCTCATTCTGACGTGCACGGAGATATGTAACGTGTATCACAATCAACGGTTTCATGCGTAGGTGCCTCAGCGTGTGCTTTTACGTTTGTACGTGCGTATATGTGGGGGTCTCAATTTTTTTTGGGGGGGGGGGATGGTATGTGCTTGGGTGTAACTTTAATTTTTTACAATTTAAAAAAAAAAAAACTTTTTTTTTTACTTTGTTTTTTTCATCACATAGGGGACAAAGACCCTGGATGTCTCCCCTTTGCTCCACTGGGGATTGCTCTTTTCCAGGGATTGCATTACAATCTCTCAATGGGGACCCGGAAGTGACATAACGTCACTTCTGGGTCAGCACAAGAAGGGGACGGACTTGTCCGCAGATGGGCAAGCAGAGCCCGGGAGACCTCACGCCAGGGGCGCGCAGAGGATGACACTGTGTGGAAGCAATCGGCGGCAGCGATAGCGCCGATTGCGTCAACTGACAGGTGAGCCCGCTGCTTGCCCACAGCAGGGCTAAAAGTAGAAAGAAACTACATGTCCCGGGCTCGGGCAATAGCAATCCAACATCCCTGCACTAACACTGTAGTACAATGTGGTGTTCAAACTCGCAGAAGTTCTGTCCCTTGTGTCTTGCTATTATCTTGAACCAGTCTGCCCATTCTCCTCTGACATCAATCAGGCTTTTTCGTCCAGATATTGGATATTTTCAACCCTAGAGATGGTTGTGTGTGAAAATCCCACTAGATTAGCAGTTTTTGAAATACTCAGACCAGCCCATCTGGCACCAACAACCATGTAACATTCAAAGTCACTTGAATCCCCTTTCTTCTCCATTCTGATGCTCTGTTTGAACTTCAGCAAGTCGTCTTCACCATATCTAGATGCCTAAAATGCATTGAGTTGCTGCCATGTGATTGGCTGATTAGCAGCTTGTGTTACCAAGCAACTGAACAGGTATACCTAATATAGTGGCCTGTGTGTGTGTATGTATGTGTGTATGTATGTGTGTATGTGTGTGTATGTATGTATATGCATATGTATATATATATATATATATATATATATATATATATTTTGTACAGTGTACAAAGCTGGAATGCTGTGTGATTATACCAGAGGAATTTTTCATTTCTATTTCCCAGATATAACTTGACAGAAAATGAATAAACATTTGTGGTAATGTGTTACGACTTCCTCTAGAACTCCCTGTGATATTTTGAATTAATGCCTCTGCATTTGTTCTCTTCTCCCAGGATGCAGAATTGTAATAGATTCACACACAAAAAAAAGTCTTTCACTTTGCTCAGGAAATGCAGCCCAGCTTTACATGGCAAAGGGCAATTAGATACAGTCAAATATTGTCCAGGTTAAAGACTATTTATTTTCCCACATCTGTCATAGTATAATCTATTTTTTCCTTGCCTATTTAAACAATAATTCATTGTTATATGCAGCCTGCTTTTTGATATTTAGGAATTAAATTTGCTTTGGTAATGAACTGAGAAGTTAATAATCGTTTTGCTTTGCAAAAAAAGGCAATTACAGCCTGTCAAGATGTTTAGTGTCGGAGTTCATCTGAGTACTGCAGATGTCTTAGAAGAACATTTGGTAGGTGAAAGGGTGAATTCTAATTAGAAATAAAAAAAAAAGGTTTTGTCACAGACATTATTTAGTCACAAAGACAAAGGAAGCAACTACCCCTCCCCTATCCATTTGTCAATTCCGTGGGATATTCTCTTGTCATGAATGCTAGTTTTTTTTTTAACCTGGAATCTTGTTTGGCATAGCATAGAATCTTCTTCCTCTGTGAAATTCAGTGTGAATTGTAAAAAAGGAAGAATTTACATGAGTTCCCCTCTCTCTACCCTTACTTTGGCCTCCCATGGGACCTATGTGACAACCTCTTCCCATATTAGAAATCAAGACTATTGTTTACATTCTCTGAAAAAAAAAATCCTAACCTACTACGGGATAAAATGCCAAGTGCATGTTTATTTTCTCACTTGAATACATTGGAAATGCTAAAATAACACTTGGAAAGCTGCCTACTCATTGACCCACAAATATTGGGCAGCTGCCACCAAAAAGTCTTGTATGTTTTTAACTGATTTAGTTTGGCTACCAGCATGGTTGAGACTAATTTGAACATGTTTTGTAATGAGATTTCCAATTTAAAAAAATGCATGGCACAAAATGTAAAGCCCAATGAAAGCATGTTTTTTTTTTTTAACTTGTTACACTTATATATGTCCTTCTTCTTCTTCTCCTTCTTTTTACTATTGTAAAAAAAAATAAAAACATTTTTTTTTTAGTACAATAAAAGCTGCGCTGTGTAGACAGCACACTAGGTAGTCAGACCTCTGAATATTATACAGATGCCATATCCTATGAGGCTTCAATTTGGATTAAGACCTGGTTCACACTGTCCATACTGGTTTCTGGTGCGGGAATCAATGCAATTTCCGCACCTGCAACCACCCACAGCCGAATTGCGCTGCTCTTGCGAGATGCGCAGGCTGCCATTCATTTTAAATGGCACCCCCACGCATCTCAGCCCGCAGTGCAATTGGGGATACGGGAACCTCGTGGTCAAAAAGACCATGCGGTTTCCCTGCAGCTGCGTTTTTTAAAAAGGCACATACACTTTTTTGTGTGGTTCACACGCGGCACAGCAGCCCATTCATAGGAATAGGCTGCCGTGCCCAAGCAAACTGCCTTAGTGTGAACCAGGCCTTAATGTTGATGGGTACACGAGGGCCCCATCTTTACAACCATCATGACACTGAAAAATTATATCACAGGCATTCAGAGTATTTAGAAGCCAAAATCTAGAAACCAGAAGATATTTTTGAGAAGTCAGAGAATTTGCGCATTTATTGATTTTCATGGAAAAGGCTAAAAATAAAATGTGCCAGTTGTAAGTTTTTTTTTTTTCATATTTTGGGGGTATTTTCTATCTGGCAGTTTGGAATTGTCCATAAATCCACTGCTTACCCTAAAGGAATCGAAACTCTTGCCTGATATCAGAGGAATAAAGTGCCTTTATGCTGTTATACTGAAAATTTCCTCTCTGCTGTCAACAGAACCATAGAAGCCATTGTCATTTTAAGGTAGAGCACCCCATTGGGACATGTATCCTATTACTCCGTAGCCAGGGGCGGACTGACAACTCATGGGGCCCCTGGGCAATAGGGGATCTTGGGGCCCCTGTGTCCTTGCCCAAACTCAAAAAAGCCTATGAAAAAGGTACCAGGAGCATCTCATGGGGCCCTCTACTGACCCCGGGCCCTCGGGCAGTGCCCGAGTTTCAAAATGGTCAGTCCGCCCCTGTTCGTAGCTAAATATTTTCTCCTGGCAGTGGACGGATGCAATAAAGGACATGGATGAACTCCAGGGTACAGTTACTTTGCCCAGACTAGTTAAAGGTGGAATCAATAATTAACTACTATGTTACTTAAAAATCAATTTCTTAATTCTTAGTATAGCTGCTGTGCTAGCCATTGGTTAGTAACCGTGACTTCAGATAGCATTTGGAGAGGCCACTGATGAAATAACAGTAATATACAAAGGACATGATTTTGTGTAATCCTCCACTGTTCTCCAGCACAACCACACATTCAAAGGATATGAGCATGCATGAATGTGATCTACAGACATTATATAATTGTGTTTATTGAGCATTTGTTTGTTGCAGGTGACCTTACCCAGCATGTCAGAGTAAAACACATAGAAGCCTCTACAGGAAAACCGCCATTACTCCAGCTGTGTGAGTTTTGTGGCCAAGCAGTAAAGCACTACAAAAGCCATAAAATATTTTGCAGGTACAAATAACACATTGTTTGGATGTTTTTGATCCATGGAGCTTGGTGTAGTTACAATTTTATTATTTTTCCACCCCCAGCCCCACTGCCACTATTATTCTCACCTGTCCCTCATCCAGCAGAATATTGCCAGTGAGGTTGCAGAGCGACTTGTCAAAATCTTCCCACCCAGGCAGGACTGCATTTATACTGCCATTCATTCCTATGTAGAGTTAGTCTGCAGAACAAACTCTCCATAGGATTGAATGAGAGTCCAAAGTGCATTTGTGATCCTGACCAGAAAAATTGAGGCAAGCCAGTGAGCGGTATCATTGGTGATATATCGCTAAATTCGGGAGAGGTAAGGATAAGGCTGCAGCAAACTGTGTTTTTTTGTAAGCAATGTGATTGATTTCAATATTATTATGTATAAGTGGACAATGTCAGTGTTAATGTATAAACACCAACAGTATTTCTTTGTAAACTATAGACAAAAAGTAAAAAATCTATTTTGATCATTATTGGTTAAAAAAAAAAGTAGTTGTACTGTAAATAAAAAAATTAAATAACTAGAGAAAAAAAGTTAGGGCTGATTAGAGTTAATAAGAAGTTAAATAGGAATGTATTTTATTTAAACACCTTTTTTTTTTTTACTTTTGAGGTTTTTAAAGTGGTATTAAACCAAAAACAAAAAAATGTATATATTGCAGTTTACCAAGATGTGGTGGCTGCATTAGGTTTTTTTTTTTTTAGCTTTTTCCCTGGTGATCTGGCCAGTAGTACACCTACATGTACGTCTACATTCTGGACATCCCTGATACTACACCAGAGGTTGGGGGTGTATGGTAAAAACACATTTTACTGTCCCCCAAACCACAATTGTAAACAAACATTCACCTCCCTGAGCCCCCTGTGAGGCTGCTTCCACACTGATGCATATTGTATCTTGTGGGTGTGGTGCACTTTTTGAAAATGCACCCAAATTCCTGTATTTAGAAGTTTGGGCGCTCTTTCAGAAAGCGCAACAAACCCACATGATATAATAGAAGTCTATGGCTCAGTGCAGCTAACCTACAGGTCAGTGTGAAAGCAGCCAAATAGTTGCTAATCCTTTTATAGGTGCTAATATGCTCATTGCAAAAGCACAGTGTATGTGTTTATTTAACAGACCTTTTCCTCTTCCAGCTTCTGCTGGCATCACTTTCCAGGCTGCTAGAAAGGTCCCAGGTGAAGTGCACTTGGTATCACACTGCCTCGAATAGGAGCCGGCGCTATAGAGGAGGCATCAGCTCATGCTTTTTCTGTGGCTGCCTGCTTCCTCTGCTACTGGCGGCGGCTTGATGCACTCTGATGCTCTGGGATGGTGGGTTGGCAAGCTCAGATCATGATCAATGGGTTGACGACCCTAAGCATGCACTTCCCTGGTTTGAAGTGTGGCCGGCGGGCCATGGGTTGAGCACCCCTGTGTTAGATTGATTAACAGATTTAGATACAGTATCTCGTGGAAGTGAGTACACCCCTCACATTTTTGTAAATCTTTTATTATATCTTTTCATGTGACAACACTTAGGAAATTACACGTTGCTACAATGTAAAGTAGTGAGTGTACAGATTGTATAACTGTAAATTTGCTGTGCCCTCAAAATAACTCAACACACAGCCATTCATGTCTAAACTGCTGGCAACACCCCTAAGTGAAAATTTCCAAATTGGGACCAATTAGCCATTTTCCCTCCCCCGTGTCATGTGACTCTTTAGTGTTACAAGGTCACAGGTGTGAATAGAGAGCAGGTGTGTTAAATTTGGTGTTATCGCTCTCACTTTCTCATACTGGTCACTGGAAGTTCAACATGGCACCTCATGGCAAAGAACTCTCTTGGGGATCTGAAAAAAAAAAATTGTTGCTCTACATAAAGATGGCATAGGGTAGAAGATTGCCAAGACCCTGAAACTGAGTGTCAACATGGTGGCCAAGACCATACATCGGTTTAACAGGACAGGTTCCACTCAGAACAGGCCTCGCCATGGTCAACCAAGGAAGTTGACATGCTCAGCGTCCTATCTAGAGGTTGTTTTTGGGAAATAGACTTATAAGTGCTGCCAGCATTGCTGCAGAGGTTGAAGGGGTGAGGGGTGGGGAGGGGGGGTCAGCCTGTCAGTGCTCAGACCATACGCCACACACTGCATTAAATTGGTCTGCATGGCTGTTGTCCCAGAAGGAAGCCTCTTCTAAAGATGATGCACAAGAAAGCTCGCAAACAGTTTGCTGAAGACAAGCAGACTAAGGAAATAGATTACCAGAACCATGTCCTGTGGTCTGATGAGACCAAGATAAACTTACTTGGTTCAGATGGTGTCAAGCAAGTGTGGCAGCAACCAGGTGAGGAGTACAAAGACAAGTGTGTCTTGCCTAGTCAAGCATGGTGGTGAGAGTGACTTGGTCTGGGGCTGCATGAGTGCTGACGGCACTGGGGAGCTACAGTTCATTGAGGGAACCATGAATGCTAACATGTACTGTGACATACTGAAGCAGAGCATGAAGCCCTCCCTTCTGAGACTGGTCCGCAAGGCAGTATTCCAACATAACGACCCCAAACACACCTCCAAGATGACCACTGCCTTGCTAAAGAAGCTGAAGGTTAATTTGATGGACTGGCCAAGCATGTCTCCAGACCTAAACCCTATGAGCATCTGTGGGGCATCCAAAAAAAGGAAGGTGGAGGAGCGCAAGGTCTCTAACATCCACCAGCTCCGTGATGTCATCATGAAGGAGTGGAAGAGGACTCCAGTGGCAACCTGTGAAGCTCGGGTGAACTCCATGCCCAAGAGGGTTAAGGCAGTGCTGGAAAATAATGGTGGCCACACAAAATATTGACACTTTGGGCCCAATTTGGGCATTTTCACTTAGGGATGTACTTACTGTTGTTGCCAGCGGTTTAGACATTAATGACTGTGTGTTGAGTTATTTTGAGGGGACAGCAAATTTACACTGTTATACAAGCTGTACACTCACTACTTTACATTGTAGCAAAGTGTCATTTCAGTGTGTTGTCACATGAAAAGATATAATAAAATTTTTACAAAAATGTGAGGGGTGTACTCCTGTGAGATACTGTACACTAAACAAACTAAAGCCAAATTCCAGCTAACACTTTTTAGGTTGTTGCAGCAACAGTTTTGTTACTTTTGGGAGAAAGGTTTTACTTAAAGCTGATCAATCACTATAAGCACACCTGTCAGTGTTAAATGATTTGTTTCAACCCTTTAACTGCAACATCTGCAGGACAGATTGTTCTGAAGAAAACCAACAGACCTACTGTCTAAATCACCAGGTGAAAATAAAAGCATAAAGCCTAAGAAAGGTAAACTAATGCAGCCATCACATCTAACAATTGGTAATCCGCAATATATGAAATGTGTGCTTTTGGGTTTAATGCCACTTTAGCTAATGTAATCTGAAGATGAAAGATCAAATGTTTGATCTACATATGAATTAAATAGTAATTGCAATGTACCTATACTTATTACACTGTATTTACTCAGTGACATTTGTAGACTATCTGCAAGTGTCAATTCCCAAAGGTGTGGTTGCATTTTGACTCCCACAATGTAATACACAGCAATTACTGGCTGTCATTTTGAGAATCGTAATTATTGTTAATAGTGGCTAGGGGAGCGGCAGCAGGGGGAGATGTTGATGTTTTCTGAGATGTATTTTCTACATACAGTTGTGCTCAAAAGTTTGCATACCCTGGCAGAAATTGTGACATTTTGGTATTGAAAATGTGACTGATCATGCCAAAAAATGCTTTTTTATTGAAGGATGATGATCATATGAAGCCATTTATTATCAAATAGTTGTTTGGCTCCTTTTTAAATCACAATGATAACAGAAATCACCCAAATGGCCATGATCAAATGTTTACATACCCTGGAATGTTTGGCCTTGGTACAGACACACAAGGTGACACACATGGGTTAAAATGCCAAATAGAGGTTAATGTCCCACATCTGTGGCTTTTTAAATTTGCAGTTAGTGTCAGTGTATAAGTAGTCAATGAGTTTGTTCGCTCTTACGTGGAAGCACAGACTAGGCTATATACTGAGTCATGGGGATCAGAAAACTGTCAAACGTCCTGCGTAACAAGGTAATGGAACTTTATAAAGATGGAAAAGGACATAAAAAGATGTCCAAAGCCTTGAATATGCCAATCGGTACTGTTAACTCACCTATTAAGAAGTGGAACCTTCTTGGATCTCTTGATACCAAGCCAAGGTCAGGTAGACCAAGAAAGATTGCAGCCATTGTAGGCCACCCTCATGAAGTCTGTTTCTGATTGTTGGGTCAGAGACATTCACACCAGTGCCTGCTGCTTTAGGTCATTTGTAGGGCTCTGGCAGTACTCATCCTGTTCCTCCTTGCACAAAGGAGCAGATACCAGTCCTGCTGATGGGTTAAGGACCTTCTCCGGCCCTGCCCAGCTCTCCTATAGTAGCTGCCTGTCTCCTTGAATCTCCTCTATGCTCTTGAGACTGTGCTGGGAGACACAGCAAGCCTTCAGGCAATGGCACGTATTGATGTGCCATCCTGGAGGAGTTGGACTGCCTATGCAACTTCTGTAGGTTCCAGGTATAGCCTCATGTTTCCAGTATAGACACTGACCCTAGCCAAATGCAAAACTAGTGAAAAACAGTCCGAAAGGTGAGTTGGGAAAAAAATGTCAGTGGCCTCCACCTGTAAAACCATTCCTGTTTTGGGGGTCATCTCATTGTTGCCCATCTAGTGTACCTGTTGTTAATTTAATTAACACCAAAGCAGCTGAAACTGATTAACCACCCCCTCTGCTACTTAGCTGACCAGATCAATATCCCCAGAGTTTCACTGACTTTAATTTTTTTGAGAAGAGTATATAAACTCCCCTGGTCTAATATCTTTTTCTTAACAAAAGTGTAGTTTTTTTTTTTTTTTTTTAATGGGAATTTTAAGATGTTGTGTCTGACTTTGGAGAAACTAATTGTAGGGGATTTGGAATACGTATGAGTTGTAAAAAGCAGCAGACTGATCTTTTATTCACCATCAAAACTAAGGTTAGCAGTACATTTGGTATATGTGTATTACAGCCCAGTCTCTCCTTTGTTAAAGGTGCCTCCATAAAGGTTTGTTGTAGTATCCTTCTCTGTCAATAAAAATGCATTTGTGGGTTGCTTCTAACTTTCAAGGCTAAGACATCTCTATATCCTATATCTCAAATGACCGGAACAGACAATATAGTAGTATAAAGTTTTCTAAATCTCTAATATAACTCCCATACACCCCAGATATGGACAGATGGCACCTATCTAGACTGCCTCTCCTTTTTCAAAGTTGGCCAACATTGCAGATAGGAAAATCTTCTGCAGATTGGACCACCTACTGCCACAAAGGAGTTCCAGACAACATGTGCTTCATATGTGTGGGTAGTTTAGGACTTCAGGATGTAGGGATGTCTATTGGCCAACAAATGTCTGCTTTTTTGTATTCGTTTTACTAAGTTAGCAAAGTCACTTTTCCAATTTGAACGTATTTTATGTGATCGCTTATATTTTCCTGTATCTTATTGTGTTGGCCAGTGGCGTGAAGAAGTTTAAGTGCGACTTCTGTGTTCAGTCTTTCCACCGGATTTCAGAACTTAAGAGACACACGTGGACTCACACTGGAGAACTTCCGTATCGTTGCAAAGTAAGTATTACTACCAGCTGTTTGGGCTTGCAAAATTGTGATGTCAAGTTGTATGCTAAAATGCTGGGCAGCAAGATGATCCCATTCTTACAGAAAGTCAACCAGTTAGATCATGGTTGGCTTCGATACCAAACAGTTTGCAGTATATAAATCCTGTATAATATTATTGAGGAGCCCTTAAACCTGATCTCTTGTATCCAGTCGGAAGGCTCCCCTGTTCTTTTACCTTCTGTGAATATGGAGAAGGCCTTTGACAGGGAGGAATGAGAATTCATGAGGGTCACTCTTTTTTACATATTGGCCTGCCATCACACATGATTTCCTGGATCAAAGCACCCTATTGTACACCTATGTAGGTAATCCAGTTTAATGGCACAACATCCAAAACACTTTCAGGTTACAAATGGCAGAAGACGGGGCTTTCTCCAAATCACTGTTCTACTGTTGTGAAAAAAACAAAAAACAAAACACCTTCTGATCAGGTCAACTGGTAGGTAACACATTTCACACAAATGATTTACTAGTGTACATGATGAATTTACTATGTTATGTGTCCTAACCCCGAGTTTGTTCCCTATACTACTCAAATAATTACAAAATTATGACTCTAACTTCAAAACTATTTACAGAAATAGGTGTATCTTTAACAGTCCCCAAGGGAAAGGATACATTCTTATCAGGCAATAAAAATCCTTGATCCCAGGTTGCTGCTATCCCAAACATTCCAAATAATAAACCTTACTCCCTTGCTAGGCCTAAAATTGATATCTGACCAAGGGGCAGGAAAGCACGTACAATGTTTTAAAGACGTGTTAATGTCATTTGCAGGATACTGTACTGCCTAACTTCTCTGTATACTTTTAAACATTAAAAAAAATAAAGTAGCTCAGCCATTTCAAAGTTTTTTTTAAATCCACCATAAAGTAGCTAAATGATTGAAAACACTGTTAAAATGTTGCTATCTGCACTTCCCAGCATACTTTGATCAGTTAGAATAAGGGTTTTCTCTGAAGTCACTTCACAGCTGCTACATTGGTAATCCCAATTCACTGATAGTCTCAATCTATCTCCACTAAAGCAGAGTGTAGGATGGATGGATGACAGACAAGAAAACTTTATTAACATTTTGGCATATTAGGTAATCTCTTTTAACTTTAGGTGTTATTTATAACACATGGTCCCTATATACTTTCTTCCCCTGCAGTAGAGGTTATGTTCTTGCCATTGCCACTATGAAAATAAAAATTTGAAGGTAAATACCTATGAAACAATACAGCTCCCTCTTCATTTATGGCAAATCATTCTGGCCCCCTCACCACCTTTTTCTTTCCATTTTAGCCTCTTTATCATGTCTGTTTTTCTGATACACCGAGGCTCCAAATTGCTTCATCCACAACATAGACTTACTCCCCCTGATCTCAGAGCCACATGGGCTAACTTTTACTACAATGGCTGTCCTATGTGCTCCCTTTCTCTACAAGACCAAATGTACACACTTTCTAACTCTTGTGGAGGCAGATTATGCATTATTATTTTGAAATATTGCCACATACCAGTCCCTTTTGGTTGAGAGCCTTTGTTTCCTATGGATTTATTAATAATAGCAATTTTTTTGTTTACCCAAGTCTGGCCAACTTTTGTTGCACATTCTTTACCAAGTGTATTACTGTTCTTCATAAAAATTGTTTTAAAATTATATGCAAGTTCAACCTGAGAGCAGACAACACCGGATTCTTGCATTAGGCAGAAACCGTACTTGCTGTGCTCCTCTAAAACAATGCCTTCAAGGTTATAACATCTGCTCTTTCCTACCTCACTAAATAGAAGGGCTTAGCCCTGAAATCAGGCTCTTCCACCCACAAAGTAAAACATCTTGGTGCTCCACCTTAAAGCAAACCTGGAAAAGAAGAGGGTAAATACCTACCTCTGCCTGCGCCACTAAATGCTGCTCTGGTAACAAAAAAAAAAATCTGAGAAAATCTGTAGTTCAAGTACTACACACTAGTGACTTGAACATTGATAGAAGGAACAACCTGAGTGCAGTGAGGGCATATGAAATCAACACCCTGGAGGTGTCTGTTTTTCAGAAGGTTATACAAAGATTTCTAATGAACAGAGGTATGTTCTAGCAATCATTATTAAGCTGGCCCTAGTTGGGCTTTAATTGCATGCAATGACATCTCTGTTCTCTCTTGTGCAAATCTCTCTTCCCTTTCTGTCCCAGAAACACAACAGGAAGGGAGGGAATCTCCCAAAATGAAGGGAATTACCCTTTTAGACAGTTGGTCCCATTAGAGAGATTTCCTCTTGTTCTGGAAATTTTCATCACTTTCTCTCTTCGTGACACTGATCGACAGTACAAATAGAGGGGTGAATCTCCCCAGGGACATAGAAAAAAAACCTTTCCCCACTAATTAAAACCAGATACAGTAGAAAGTCTGTAAATTCCACAAAAGTGAGTGTACCAGTTTTAGCTTCCTTCTGCAGTGTTGGATGACATTCACAAGCATATGTCTTTTTGTTTTTTTCCTTTTCTTACCTCTTTCTTAAAAGAAAGGTAGACTGTATTTCTGGATTTTTTGCCAAGTCTCCCTAAAGTTTTATTTGTTGCAGATCTGTGGGAAGGGCTGCAGGCATCCAAGTAACATGAAGAAACATATCCGTACAGTTCACAAAGCAGACATGCGAGTGCAGATCAATAGAGAACATGCATCTCCCAGATTCTGCAAGAACAGGAGGCCAGCTTCTAAGTTTTCAAGTCAAGTGCTGCCTGCTGACCACTCCATTCCAGTATCCGGTTTAGCTGCAGATCAAGTGCTTCAAACAGACTCCTCTGTGTCACCATTATCTCTTTCCTACATCTCCATCTTTACTGGTGATGAACAAGCCAATGATTTTCCCCCATATGACTCGCATAGCGCATCATCCGATACTGTCAGATCATTGTAACAAAGACTTTAATTTTTAACGAAATGTGATTTACCATTATGGTACATGGTAATAAGACTAATGTCAAAGTGGTTTTATAGTCAAAAAGTGTATATATATGCATATATATAATTTTTTTGTTTTTTTAAACAACAAACATACTTTCTCTGTGCAATGGTTTTGCACAAAATCGGCACTGATCCTCCTCTTCTGGGGTCCCCTGCTAGTGCCCCTGGCCCCCCCCCCCCCCTGCCAAATGCCCCCATACCAAGCTGCTTGCTATAGGGGCACTTGTGCAGCTTTATCCCACAGACATTGACACACAGTGTGGCTTGGCTCCGTCCCCCACTTTCTGCTATCTGTGATTGATTATAGGACAAGCCTTCTTTTAACAGCCTTTGACTTTGCATTCTCAGCCTCTTGAAAAACAAAAGTAGATCTATAAACACATATTTAAAATTGTTATGATCTATTGTAAGTGGCCACATGTAAGCACAAGGTACCCAAAGAAACAAGGGTGCTTACTAGCACAGTAGACGGTACCTTGCCTTCACTCTCTATTCCAACAGGTTTCGTTGTAGTGTTTTAGACAGCCGCATTAGCCACTTATCACCAGATTGTGTCACTGACACAGGGAGACACACAATTCCACCTCATCAGTACCTTACTATACCTCGGCAGTGCCTGATATATGCATCAGTTTAAGTGGAGCAGATGTTGCAGAAGAGCTGTAAGAGCTTTGTTCTATTTATCACCTGAAATGGTGCTGCTGTCATGGAATTAGGTGGATCCTTAATTTCACCAGTAGGCAGTCTACACAGTGCAAACTCCTGCAATTTTTGGTCTTCTCTAGAGCTGCTGACAGTATAGATGTTACACTGCAAACAGATACTAGAGTGTGATCCGCAGGATGCCTGGCATGACAGCAAAGGAAATACCAGAGCAAAGGAACACATTTTCAAGCAGAGTTTGGGTCTGAACAGTCTAAAAGTCAGGGCTGTTAGCAGGGGCAGATTGACCATTTGGAAAACTCGGGCACTGCCAGAGGACCCGGGGTCAGTAGGGGGCCTCATGAGATGCCCCTTGTACCTTTTTCATAGGCCTTTTTGAGTTTGGGCAAGGACACAGGGGCCCCATGATCCCCTATTGCCCGGGGGCCCCATAAGTTGTCAGTCCTCCCCTGGCTGGTAGAGAAGACAAGAGTAGATGAAGCTTGAGCAGAAGTAATAAAATTTTACAAAAGTGTGTTTTGTATGCAAGATAATAAAATAGAAACAGATTTGTTTTAGGAGAGCTTTAATCTGTTTTTGACACTACATTGCGATGTACAAAATAATAAAAAAGGTTTGTGTAAATTGCTAGCATAACATTAAAGTGATTGTAAAGGCAGATGGATTTTTACCTTAATGAATTCTCTTCATTAAGGTAAAAAAAAAACTTGTGTGTTCAGGAGGATCAGGGCTGCTCTGTGCAAAACCACTGCACACAGCAGGTAAGTATACCACGTTTGTTAGTACAAGAAAGTTTCAGAGGATCAAGGGAACCATATCCCAATGAAAATACATATTTGTTGTAAGAAAAAAGGGGGTTTTGAGGCTGCCAAAAACATAACATAAAATATGATAAAAATTTTCAGTATTTCCCTTCCCAGTCCCCCCTCTTATGGCCACAGACATCTAATCTGAGGTGGGACCATTGGTGCAGAAGCCTATTTATTTGGTTATTTTGGTATCAATTCATTTTTTCTACCATTCAGCATGTTTGTTTACCCTGGGTAAGATAATCCTCTAAAATGACTCATGGTTAACTTTTGTGTGTACTGTGTTTGCTACATATTTGAACTGTCTGTTGGACTATTCAGAAGTGATTTTTCATTTTAGTGGCACCTTTTGCAGTATTCATAAGTCTCCTGAGGAAGCCAGAATTGTGGTGAAACATGTACAGCTGAATTATACTGCACAGACTTCTAATCCGCATGAAAATGTTGTGATGGTTTTATGTTCAATCCTGTGATACTGTTGTTTTAATGCTTTGTAATAAAATTACAAAAAAATGTTATCGTATATTTTTTTGTTGCTGTTTTTTGGCACCCTAAAAATCCCCTTTTTCATACAATTATGTATACAACATTTATTTAAAATAAAAAAAACTTATCCTTACAGTCACTTTAAGATGAGATCAACTTGGGTCTGGCAAGGGCACAAATTAGCATGATGGCAAATTTTTTACAGGTTAATGATCACTAAATTTCCAAATGATGTGTTCACTTACATGAGCATTTGCCGCTTGTGCAGTCCTGCAGATCTTCTATGGTCATTGTGAACTGGGTCGTTATCTGCAGAGAAAAGTCTAAGCAACAAATTATCATCAAGCAAACTTGGACATGATGAAGACTGTACAGTTGGCTTGATGACAACTTGCCCAAGTCCCAATGCAGCAAAGCAACCCAATACTATAACATTTCTTCCACCATATTGCAGTTGTTAGAAGTTTCTTCTCTTGAAATACTGTCTTTGGTTTGTGGCAAACATGCCTACTGTTTACTATGACTAAACATGTTCCAGAAGACTTGGTATTTGTCTATATGTTCAGTGGCAAATGGTAATCTTGCTCCAATGTTTTTAAGCAAAAGCTTTTTTTTTTTACCACACCTCTCATACAGTGAAATTTTTGGAGACTTTTTGGCATCAAACATTCAGTTCTTGGGTAGATTTTTGCTGAGCCATGCAGTCCTGGACAACTTAGCAGTCATCTGAAATCTATCACAATTATAGATTATTTTTCTTGCAGTAGATTTCAAATCTTTTTCAGTTACTTTCCAGACACACAGGCATCTACAACTTACTTTCTATGGGGTTTAGAATGCTCTATCAAATTGGCATAACACCACACATGTAAATAGAAAAGAGAACAGATGTCGGAGCTTTAAAGAACTCTGGAATAGGCAAAAACATCATCCATTAGTACAACCCCCCCCCCTATATATAACACTAATGGTTAATACATTTGTGAAAATCCTTACCATTGAGGAGAAAAGTCTAACTGAATTTTCATGACCTCATCTCTGTAGTTCAAAAGATAACAGCATCTGCTCTGCCAGGGAGGAAGTGTAACAGCAGGGATTCAATCCTATCCTCTCCTCTCTGCAGTAAAATGAAACTACAGTTCCCATCAACCACAGGGGATTGTAGTGAATGTGGGCGGGTACACTAGCCTATACATGTATACATGTTGAATGTTTCTGAGAGTCTTTGTCCGCCCACCACTGCAAGTGGGGCTGAATTACATTACTGCTTCCTGGAGAACGCTACAGAAGTGATGTGCTGTGAAAATGAATAGGCTATATCAGAGCAACTACTGAATGAACCAGAAAATGAATGACATATTCAGTGAAGGTAGGAAATCAGTAAAAAGGACATGTAAAGACGTTTTTACCTGGAGTTCTGCTTTAAATAAGACGAGTTCCACATGCATTCAGACCAAGGGGTTTCTAATCATTGGCACCTAAGCTGGAGCAATGGATTCTAATTTCATGGATTTAAAATGATGGTAAATTTAGGGGTGTACTTATTTTTCCTAAAATCTGCATTTTTGTTAATTTATATAATGCAAATGAATACACCATGTCAGTTTTCTGTGTCATTTGTTCAAGTGCATCACCTTTATCTGTAGGCACAATTTGAATCAAGTTGCCTGTTCAAATATGTAGAAAAAGTCAACCATTTTCATGGGATGTACCTATTTTTGCAAATGATTGTATAAGATTTTTGCCCAGTTCTGCTGATATAAAGGCCCTAACCTGTCCAGACATTCCTAGGCTGGCCAGGCTTTGAAGATCAAGTAGTAGGCTCTGATGGTTTTTCACAGTCAATCACTGTTGTTCCCTCAAGAGATATGATCAATTTCAAAATACACTATACTGACAAAAGTATTGGGACGCCTGCCTTTACACGCGCATGAACTTTGATGGCATCCCAGACTTAGTCTGTAGGGTTCAATATTAAGTTGGCCCACCCTTTGCAGTTATAACAGCTTCAGCTCTTCTGGGAAGGCTGTCCACAAGGTTTAGGAGTGTGTCTATGGGAATGTTTGACCATTCTTCCAGAAGCGCATTTGTGAGGTCAGGCACTGATGTCAGATGAAAAGACCTGGCTTGCAGTCTCCACTCTAATTCATCCCAAAGGTGTTCTATTGGGTTGAGGTCAGGACTCTGTGCAGGCCAGTCAAGTTCCTCCACCCCAAACTTGTTCATCCATGTTTTTATGGACCTTGCTTTGTGCACTGGTGTGCAGTCATGTTGGAACAGTAAGGGGCCATCCCCAAACTGTTCAAACAAAGCTGGGAGCATGAAATTTTCAAAATGCCTTGGTATGCTGACACTTTAAGAGTTCCCTTCATTCGAACTAAGGGGCCAAGCCCAACCCCTGAAAAACAACCCCACACCATAATCCCCCAACACCAAACTTTACATTTGGCACAATGCAGTCAGGTAAATATCGTTCCGGCAACGGTCAAACCCAGACATGTCCATCGGATTGCCAGACAGAGAAGCGTGATTGGACACTCCAGAGAACATATCTCCACTGCTCTAGAGTCCAGTGGCGATGTGCTTTACTCCACTGCATCTGATGGTTTGTATTGCACTCTGTGATGTAAGGCTTAGATGCAGCTGCTTGGCCATGGAAACCCATTTCATGAAGTTCTCTACGCACTGTTGTGCTAATCTGAAGGCCACACAAAGTTTGGAGGTCTTTAGCTATTGACTCTGCAAACAGTTGGTGGTTTCTGCGCACTGTGCGCTTCAGCATGCGCTGACCCCGCTCTGTCATTTTACGTGTCCTACCACTTTGTGGCTGAGTTGCTATTGTTCCCAGTTGCTTCCACTTTGTTATAATACCACTAGCAATTGACCTTGGAATATTTAGTAGCAAAGAAATTTCACAGATGGACTTATTGCACAGGTGGCAACCTATCATGTTCCCACGCTTGAATTCACTGAGCTCATGAGAACGACCCATTCT